CTCTGTGATTTTATGTGGCCTACCCATTCAAGGCTGAGTTTCTGTTGTTCCAAATCGCTTCCACTTAGTTATAATACCACTAACAGTTGACCTTGGAATATTTAGTAGTAAGGAAATTTCACAAATGGACTTATTGCACAGGTACCAAGCTTGAATTCACTGAGCTCCTGAGAGCGACCCATTCTTTCACAAATGTTTGAAGGAGCAGTCCACATGCCTAGGTGCTTGATTTTATACACCTGTGGACATGGGAAGTGATTGGAACATCTGAATTCAATGATTCGGAAGGAGTGTCCCAATACTTTTGGAAATATAGTGTATACCGTCAGATCACACAGTCCTATTTATCAATGTTATATTGTAAATCAAGCTTTTGGATGTAAGACACGGCAAGCTAGTGTAGATCATCTGCCTTTTGCTTATTACTCACACGTAATGGAAGAGCTGGTGGTAGAGGGGGAGTGGTTATCTGCTCTTGTCATTTTTGCAGCCATGTAGCCACCAGACTTGAATTCTTCCCCAGTTCTGTGGAGGAGGTTATGGACTAACATTTCCAGAATTTGGTCACCATACCAATTATTAAGGGAAACTTACTTAATGTCTTGCAGACCTTGGATAGATATACTGTTGATTTTTCCAATTGAGCTAAGAAACCAAGTGGTCAGTCGAATCTGAAAATGTACTTTTGGCCTGCATACCAAAAACTTGCAAACAAATGGATTCATTTGGACTACCAAGAAAAACTTAACCTTTGCACTTGTCTTTCTTTTTGTATACCATATTTAAATTTTGGACTTCCCCAACTCCCGTGCACACAGTTGTGCACTGCCTTGCAAGGCCAGGTGGACCTAATTCAGCAATCAGCTGTAGCACTCCTTGGGCAGAACTAGAGGACAGAAAAGGAGCAAGAATGCACAGCACAGAGAAACACATACAGCCATAACAACATTTACCAGATACAAAAACTGGCTTTAGAAAGTCATAAAATATCATATTGAAACCAGAGATGAAGTCTTTGGATTGTGCATTAAGTTTGCTAGGGGTGGATGCCTTTGCGCACCCCTTGTGGCCCCCTCAGCTGTTGTATGCTTTTCCGCCGGTTCGGCTGATCCCGCGACTCTTGGACATCCTGGTGGCTCCGGAGCACACAAGCACACCCTGGTTTCCCTGTCTCCAGCGTTTGCTGTCAGGTCGGCTGTGGAAAACTGGGATGCCCTCTTTCAGGCAGGAGACGTGATCAGGAGTTATCCGCTGAGCAGCGGCGCCTAGAGAGTTTAGGTCTCTCCCCGGTGGTGGTGTGCACCATCCAGCGGTCGAGAGCCGCTTCTACTCAGTCCTCTTACTCCTCCAAATGGTCGGCGTTCCAACGCTGGTGTTTGGACCAGGGGTTGGACCCCGTTGCTTGTCTGCTGCTGAGGGTGCTTTTGTTCCTCCAGCTACTCACGGACAGAGGTCTGGCGTTCAGTACGGTTAAAACCTACAGGGCTGCCATTTCGTCCTGCCACGAATGCTTCGGAGACAGGGTGGTGCTCGCTCACCCGCTGGTGAAGCGTTTCCTCAAAGGGTGGTGGAGGCACAGACCGGTGTCCCAGCCTGCCGCTCCACATTGGGATTTGGCACTAGTTTTACGTGCCCTTACCCAAGCTCCTTTCGAGCCCTTGGAGACGGCGGACCTGCGGTTCCTTTTGGCCAGTGTCACTCTGCTCATTGCCCTGATGTCGTCCAAGAGGGTCACCGATCCAGGGTGATGGAAGCCCTGCGCCCTAATCCTGCTTTCATGCCTAAGAGCATCACCAGCTCCTTCGGATCTCTCGGGTTCTTTCCTCCCCCCATGGTTGTGAGGATGAAGCTATGTCTCACCCCCTCTGTCCGGTGCACACGCTGTCCTGCTATTTAGCGCGCATGACCGCCTGGCGCCGTTCACAGTGCCTGTTCTTCCACTACAGGGAACAGTCCAAGGGGCTTCCCCTGTTGGCGCAGCATCTGTCTCATTGGCTGTGCAAGGCTATCTCACAGGCCTATGTGTCAGCTGGTGTATCTCCCCCGGACGGCATGAGGGCGCACTCCACGAGAGGCGTCTCCTCCTCGGTGGCATGGGACAGTGGAATGTCGGTGGACGACATCTGCACGGTGCCCTCCTGGTCTTCCCCGTGATCTTTCATCTGTTCTACCTGCAGGATGTCTCACGATTCTCGCTGACTGCACTGAGCGTTCTGTCTGAGTGATTGCCCTCTGTGAGTGTGCGGTGCGCTTCTCCCATCCGGACAGTGGGGAGCGGCTGTGGCCCACGCTGGCCCTGCTCTATACACAACCGATGCGGTTGCTGTTGTGACCTCGTCTGCACCTGCACAGCTGCGGGGCCCCCCATCCAGTCCCCGGCCTTGTTGCTCTAGGTAGGTGGGTCTGTGCTTTGTGGTAGCATATGGGCCAGTGAGGCGTTGACTCATCCTGCTTTGCCTCTAAACCCAATAGCGATGGCCTTAGAGAGCGAAGCCTTTACGTCTTGGCAGTGGGCCTCACTCGGCCTTGGTTCTCAGTGCTGAAGAAAGGGCACTATGGGAGCCGATGGCTGGTTTCAAACAAAGGGTGGTATGTCCCAAGTTGTTTAACGCATCAAAACAGCTGAAATTCTGAAATCCTGTCTTCTTAATAAGGTAACAGATTAACCTTTTATTTTTCTTTTCACAGGAACATTTCTCTGACCACCAGAGTGGCTCTGGTTACCTGGCATGGAGGCTGAAAACGGTCCAGCAAAACTCTGCTGAAGATTCCAAGAAATCGAAGTCCACTTTTCAAGATGGTGGAGGGAACGGGCTGTTCAATTGTGAGGCAGTTGACAGGTGATGAGTATAATCATAAGACTATCGTAAGTTTAAAGCTTCTGGAAGGTGATCACAGTGTGATTTGGAAAATGACTGGCAGTATCTGACTTGTATGCACTGTAATCCTGAACAGTACTGCTAACTCATAACCATTATGGGTGAAGCACTCAAAAACAGCTAATAAGTAAACCAAACAGTTCTCTTAATGGGTAATGCTGTTTTAATTATATGTGCATCATTGTTTTTGAGTGAACATTGGCTGTGTCACCCACTACTCACTAATTAGTGGGCTATATAGTGAGCTTGCCATTTTGTAGTGCTGTCTGAATGTCTAGTGATAATTATTATACCCTATATAGTCCACTCAATGTATCCCAGAATGCATTTTGAAAAGTTATATTCTCTAATTTAACTTAAGATGATATGTAGTACAACTTTGTCAGCCATGTATAAATTGTTTGTATGTACGCATTGCGCCATTACGGCACAAATCATGCCTAGTGACCCAGCTTGCTAACATTAGCTAACGTTAGCCCTCTACAGTACAGTAACGTTATTAACGATAACTTAAAGTTAAGATAAGTTAAAAATAACATAACAACATGTGCCGGAAGTTTTTTATTCGTAGGAGGCTAAATTTCACTGAAGTTTAACACAAACAAAAGCAAGAATGGATCCCGTCTGGCCCGCTGCACATGAGAGCCCTGCAGTGGTGGCTAAAATCCAAGGGATTCTCCCCGAGGGGAAATTCGTTCCGTCTGATACCGGTTATGAGCAGGTGCCTTCACTTGGCAGTGATTAAGGCCAAGGAAACTGTAGCTAGATGATGAAATATTATACAATTAGTCTTATTTAAAAGATATTTGATTTGCTAAATCAATTCTTAGTCATTCATTTTTTTTATTTTGATGCAGCAAAAGTTAAGTCAGGTTAAAGAAATTTGCAGGATGACCCTGCATTTTTTTCTTATCAGTGCCGTGGTCAATTTCCATTTCTCAGATAAAAACTGTAATCTTTTTGCCATATAGCCATCCATCCCGCTTAAAACAAGTTATTGATGCCTTATGTTTTCCTGTTAAGGCCCAAGTTAAAAACCATTAATCTATATACATTTATGTGTTTGCAGGTGTTTGCTGAGTTCCATGGCTTTACAGATCTTGAACCTATGCAACCAATTTTACTGCGCGCTTGAGAGATACACACCACAACTGATTGCCCTGGACAGGCAGAAGACCAAGAGAGCAGAGGCCCTGTAGAGATCCCCAGGATTTATGACCTCCAGTGAGTTCAAGATTACCTTTACTATAGCGACAATGTTGATCACATAATGTGAAGTCAATACAGATTGGGACCTCTACTATAATATGGAAATTTGATTATGTTAGGAAGATAGATCCATCTACTGTCATTTGTCAAGTTTTACAGTACATGATCACTTTAAAAGTCATTTAAAAGCCTATGACAGAAAATCCTCAATTTCACTCATATTTTATGGGTGGAGCATTTCTATTTTTCTATCCATCCAAGAGTCCAACTCTATCCATGATTGGTTGCCATATAGTCTACTAACAGAGAGATGTACTGTGTTTTTTGGGCAGTTAAACATACGGCTGACAATGAAAGTCGAAAGTGGACAGAGAGCAGCCTCTACGTGTCTGTAGCTGTATGATACGGCAAGAGAGAAACTAATCTATGTTTGTTTAAATTTGACTTGTCTGTAAGTAGTTGCATCTGGATGGATTCATTGTTATTGCTATCAATATTATTATTATTTTAAAATTGCATAATATTACACTAGATGGCTTGATGTGCTGTAAAAATATTTGTATAATAATTATTATTTTGTTTGTCAATCTAGGAACATCACTATGTACACATGAGATGTTGTTCCGACCCTCCATGCCCTTCCGGTGAGCCTGCTAGTGAATGACTGACTTCTTCAAAACCTGGAATGTAGGTACTAATTGTACTCACAGAAATGTCAATATCAACTAGAGCCCGACCGATTCATTATTTTGCAGATATTATTGGCCGATATAAGCAGATATATCTGCATCTGCGTTTATAACATACGATATTACTATTAAAAAGAGAAACAGAGAGTCGGATCCTTCCCTCGGGTCATGAGTGTTGCATAGTTTTCCCACCAGAGGGCGCGCTGTAGCTCCTCCTGTTAACAACACTGCAGCACCACAGAACAAAACATCAGCTGACCGCAGTGTGCCGGAGCCACGGAGAGTAGGTACTGGTTTCGCTCACACTCAGTGTTCCCGCTGAGTTAGTCATTTGCCACGTCAATTAAATTACTTAAATAACATAATCTTACCAAACCAGACTTACTAACTCTTACGTTTTTCACTGCCCTCTCACGGGTCAAACGGAGGGTGTGTGTGTGTGTGTGTGTTTACCTGTGTAGGCTGCTGTGTGTCTGAGTTTGGGAAAAGAGAATTCCAAGGACGGTACGAAGAATATTTAAAATTTATAATAATAATGTTCGTGGTCATTAAAACCTGCTTTTACATGGTGGTTTAATGTGAAAAATTTAGTTTTTTCTTGCCAGGGGGGTGGGGTTTTGTGTGATGTCTGTCAGCCTTATTATTGTTGGCTGTCATTCCTCATCTCAATTAAACACTTCTCCTTTCATGCAAAAATGTTTCTGTAACCTCCCAAGACGCTGAGCTTTGATTCTGTGTATGTGATTTTAAGTATAAAAGCCCTAAACATTGTCTTTGAACAGGAAGTACTTTATCAAAAGATGAGTATGTGCAACAAAGTAAAAACAGACGTCAGAAGGCTGCAAACAGTGACCATAGAGGGCACAGGCAACTGCCCACTAACGAGGACAATAGGTTTAAGCTGTTAAGCAGAATGAAGTATACAGTGCAGGGAGCCCAAAACCTAAAGTCCTCATGAGGACACAGGATTTTAGCAGGCTAAGTTCAGCTGCAGCTAAATTAGTCTCAAGCTGTCTAATTAAAAAATTATTGTTAGGTCATTGTGTAGGTTTACTGTTGGAAGGAAGTATCCCACTGCTGCAGCTCAGCAAGTTAACACACAAAGACTAACTTCTAAAAATACTTACGATATGTTTTGTGGCTTGTTTATGTCAGACTGTTGAAGTCTCATAACAGTTCCTAATGAACTTGAAAATTTTGTCCTCATTCTCTTACAGTTGAGTCAGATTAAGAAAGCGTTATAGTCAGTATAGACAGAAGGAATCATCACAGCCACCAGTAACTCTTAACATTTTGTCATGTGAGTATTGTATCAAGACAGGCTTGGAAAAAATAAAAAGTGCGTGGGGGGAACTGATGAGCATACAGTGCTTTATAATTATCTTCATATTTGGATTGCTTGTATTTTGCAGGGTGAAGATGAAACAGACATTGCTGACACTCCTCACTGTGGTCACTGATGCTCCTGGTGGAGCAAGAGAAAGGTGGGTGTGGATGGATTTGTCTGTTACAGACTCCTGAAAGCACTTCTGAACTGTTTGTCTATATGCTCAGTATGTTTACTGCAAGCTTACAGCGAGAGATATTCAAAACAAAGGTTTTTGCTCTGTGCTCTTTTTTTATATTGTTCCATTACCTCGTTTACCTCACTTAACAATTTGCATTGTGTGGGATTTCTTATTTTAAACAGTTGTTATTAGCAATCTTTATTTGCTTTTGATTCCCCAAAAGTTGAATTTCTTTTATTTATTTATTTTAATTTATTGGTAATTTATTTCTTACTCTGCATTTAGAGCTCCCTTTTATATTAAATAAAAGTCCTGCTGTTGGAATAAAATTATGCATAGTTGCTTTATCCACATAATACACTGCAGGTAGTAAAAGAAAAGTTTGTTTAGCTCAAAGGACTTTGCTGAAGAGATTCAGCAAAGTCAGCTTATTATGACTTAACACCAAAATATCTCATTAAGTATCTGTTAATAGGGAATGTTCAACATTCAATGTTTATTACATAAAAGAATGAAAACAAATCGGTTATCAAAATTGTTGCTGGTTTATTATGTGATCAAGCAGTCAATTACTTAAATAGTCCATTCAGCTTTATGCAAGATGTGCCTTACCAGAAAGAGAATTTTTTTCCCATCTGATGAAAACAAGTTTCACAGTAACATTGTTGGTACATCAGGACCAAAACCTATTGCCACAAAAACAGCTTCTTCCCATCTGCAGCTAGCCTTATCAACAAGGCCAGGGACCCCGCTGACATTCCCCCCTTGCAAATAATACATATGTCTCTGCACATGTAAACACTATTTCATTTCATAACCTCAAACCTGGCATATAGCACACTTTTTTTTGTTAATTGTTAATCTTTGTTGTTGTCTATTTAATCCCTTAACGCCTGAATTTTTTTACGATCAAAAAATAAAAAAAATATTTGTGTTTTCATTTGCTTTCAAGCTGATGTTAAATTAAGTGAAGATTGTTAATTTGTCTTTAGTACATAGAAAAGATATAAATTCAGGTATGTGTAGGTATGATGCAAATTCGCGACAACAGGCATAAATGAGAAACCAGGGCTTGCAAAAGGTTCCTAGGTTCATATCAAATATGCACCAACAGGCATTGAGGGAATCCATGTGCTATTTTGGCTTGCAGTCTGCAAGGAAGAGGTATGATGCGAATTCGCGACAATTGCGTCAAGGGGTTAAATATTTCTTTGCAATACGTCTGCTCTACACAAACCCAGAATAATATATTCTGCAAATAGTTGTATTATTTTTCTCTATTCTTTTTAATATTCTTATGTAACTTGCATTGTCTATTCCATATTATATATATATATATATATATATATTTATTTATGTCAACTGTATGTTTGTCTACATGTAGCACCTCATCACTAAAACAAATTTGTCGTACTCCTTCTGATTCTGATTCTTCTGATCCCAGTGGAAAAAAAAATACTAGACATATGCAGCTCCTTTTTTTGGACAAGTGCAAGCCTCAGGAGTTCTTGAAAGTACTGTGCAAAGTTTAGTTGGTTCAATGGCGGAAGTGGTTAATGATATCCATGCCCATGCAAAACAAGCTATTGATGAATGTTTGTCATTTGATACATCAAGAGAAACCTTAGAGAAAGTTGATGATTGTTTTGATCAGCTTCAAAATCCATTCTCATGTCTAAACACAGAATCTAAAAGGATGAGACATTTTGAGGAAAAATGGAAAATAGTAGAACCAGTTGAGCATATCCTTAGTGTTCGCTTTGATATACGCAGAAACAGAACAACAGGCACAGAGAGGCAAGTTCCTATCAATGACAAGTTCATTTATGCACCCATCATAGGGTCTCTTTCATCTATGTTTTGGAACAGTGAACTCTGTAACAGTTTCCAAACAGCAAAACCGCACCAAGAGTGTTTCTACAGAGATTTAAATGTTGGCCCGTACTTCAGGAATCACCGTTTATTCTCACAACACCACCATGCTCTTCAGCTCCAGCTCTACTACGATGATTTTTAAACTGCTGATCTGTTAGGGTCAAAAAAGGTAGTGCACAAACTTGGGTGGATTTATTTTATTTTGAAAAATCTGCCACCAAAACTAAATTCTGTGTTGATTAACATTTAGTAGCCCTCTTTCACTCAATTACATTACAACCCCGTTGTCTTGTCTTGCTCAGGACGAATCCAGCTTCATCAATGAAAATGAATTCATGAGGCTGTGCAGCTCCATCCATGACCAAGATTCTCTGTAACAAAAAAAACATATTACTGCACTACAGTGCTAAACATACAGAACCCTCACCCCATCACACAGGTACCTGTGTAGCTCTCCGAATGGATCCATGTGGTACTGATACGGTACATATTCAGCTGCTACTGGATTTCACCAATACTGTATTGTAAATGTAAAGGACAGTTATACTTACCCGTACATATTCAGCTCCAAGTCCTTTGACCCTGACACTGTTCCTCTCAAATGCGACCCTGTAGAGCTGCTTCATGGTGATGTTGTGTTCCCAAGATGCTCACATGGTTAATTTTGTTGAACACTTGCCTGTCTGCAAGTATTTTCTGTCGTAGCTGGTGGAGACGGATGGCATTGTCTGCCCTCACTAGGTCCACAACGGCAAGTTCCTGCTGTTGTGTGAACAGGCGTTGGCGTCCTCCCCCCAGAAGGTTTTCTAGTCATTCTAGAGAAATACAACCACAAATTGTCATCGGTTTGCTTCTTTTTCTTACATTACTTTACTGTATATACTGTATCATCCCCTGTACTGAAACATCTCAATATACTGTAAGTAATCATGCATGGTATGTTTCACAAAAACTACCACTTTGGCTGCAAAAGGAGCATTAGCACCCTGCAATACCCTGTACATGTGATGTGGTAAAGTGATATACTGTAGTACTTCGCTGTAAATACCATCTGAGTAGAGTAGAAGGTAGAGAGGTGAAGACATACCTGTTTTCTAGTCGGAATGTTCTTATTACAGATCACAGTGAAGCGGCTTAGATGTGGGTGGACAGCTTCCCTCATAGTCAGGCCATGGTTGATGACATGGTCCACCAAAGTTGCTCTTATACCATCAGAAATAGGGGTCCGTGCATGGCCTCTTCGACCTTGACCTTGTCCTTGTCCTCCTCCTCCTCCTCCTTTTCCTCTACTTCTGCCTCTTGCTCTCCCTCCATCCATGCTTGCAAAGTTCTTGAAATGGCTAAACTGAGGGCTTTTTGTAGCTGGCTGATTGGTGTTCAGTTTTGCAAGTAAGTTCAGGTGTGTATTTGAGTGGTTGCAATTACGCAATGTGTTTTGTATTTTGGATAACATACATAGTGTGACGAAGTGTCTTATGTATGAAGTAGAGTGTAGTATGCAGGACCAAGTGTGTTGCATAAAGGACCAAGTGTGTTGCAGAATTGCAACTAGAGTGCAAAGCAGCGCTTTTGTTTAAGGTATGGGTACATGTGTTTGAGGTATGGTAACAAAAGCTTCAAGTTGTGTTACTTTAGTCTAAGCATGGGTCTATAGTGTTCAAGCAACGGGCACAAACTGTAATAGTTTTGTATTTCTTTTCTTAGAAGCCCTAGATTGTAACTGCTGTTTTAACTATATATTTTTATCTTCATTTGTGCTTAATTCTTTATTTTGTGCTTAAGTTTTGGCTCCATCGTGTCGGATTTCTTTTTGTGGGCGACTTGGCTGTTAAAGCCCCTGGAGAAATATTTCAAATAATTTAGTTTGTATTTAATTTGTATTTTCATTGCCATTTATTTTGGGTTTTGTTATTTTCATTAATAGGTTTATTTCTTACATTGTTTCTTGAGGAGCCTTGTCGGCACTTGTAGTACGGAGGGCAGGTGTTATTTTTTTTATTGATTTTTCTTTTGTTATCAGGTGCTGTGGACCAAAGGCAGCAGTCCGATCCCTGGTGGTGGTGTTTCTTCATGAGTCCCTTTCTGTTGGTTTGTAGTGTCACGGGTGATTAGGTAAAGTATTCTCCTGCTTTGTTTTGGCTTCTTCCTGCAGTGTGGTAAGTCACAGCACTCCCCACCTGCCCTGCCACTGTGCTATATTTTTATATAGTATTTGTAGTGTTTTTAGGATTAATTTAAAAAAAACCTGCCCTGTGTCTATTTATGAACCTGTGTGCCTTCATTTATTAATGTTGGCTGTAAATAAAATTTCTTGAGGTGAAATTGTTGTTAAATTTAAGGTGAATTGAAATATAGAGTAATAAATTGTCAACTGATGTGATATACTTGATTTACCATTCATAGTTCACAACACCCTTCTGTCATTCATCATTTACCACATGTAATTTTAGTCACTTCCTGCTGAAACTGTCAATCACAAACCACGCCCCCTGACAAACTGATCGAGTTTTTGGCTCTAAACTTGTCATCCTCTGAGTACGTCGCTGGAGCTGGAGCAAGCCCAGCTGACCGGAGGAATAAAATGCCGTGCTCTGGTGTCAATTGTTCATCAGAAACTAGTATTTACAGTTTACGCTGTGTGTAGCAGACCTGGTGGAGGATTCATGACCTCAACAAAAAACGATCACTGAAAGATATCAAAACATCTTGTAACAAATATAAATGTCCACAAACGTTCCCAGTGTCCCCAAACTTGTTTCTGAATGGACGGTCAGAGCAGGCTTTGGCAAGTAGAGCAGTACTCAGAGCTAAAAACCTCTGACACATAGAAGTCAAATAAGAGAGAAATGGCTGTAAATTGCTTCATGCTTGCCTGAAGGAATTAGATAATTCAATTTGTGTGTTAACAAATTGTTACTTTACCTAAATGTTTGAGCTTCACTGTGCAGAATGATGTGTGTGCAGTTTGATACTAAAAGACATTTTTACATTTATCTATGTTCAACTTTCCAAATGAAAGACATTTGCATATTTACAGCTTCTGGATTTTTTAATGCGGGAGAAGGAGCATATTTTTACAATGTAATAGTAGTAGCAATACATACAACAAGTTATCCTCATAACATTAGAAGTATTAAGTAGTAGTACTAGTATAAGTAAATACAAAGCAGAATAATGGGGTCAAACTACATTTCACTGAGATCTGATAAAATGTCTTTCCTATCATCAGTTTTTATTATTCGCATCAAAGAAAGCAATTCAAAATGTGGAAAGTCTAAATAACTTGCAGATCCATCCTCCTTCAAATAATCGGTCCTGATGTCCTGATCTTACGTCTCAACACTTTCAAGGACAACCGTGGGGACAATCCGTGTTGTCTCAAGCCCTTTATTTAAAAAAGCCACACAAACACAGAAAAAACAATGTTAAAACTGTTAGTCTCACCTCCTGCTGCATAGTTATGCACAAAATTTAATAATGAATTCTTAAGTAGTGCATTGAGCACTTTTAATTTAAATGTACTGCTATATAAACTTTTTAACTTACAGAGCAAAACCATGTAATGTGCAGTGCAATCACTGACAGCTTAAACTACTGAAAGTCAACACACCACCAGACTCTCAAACCAGTGTAACGTTATAACCAGGTTACAACTAAATAAAACTGTAAGGTTACATGATGAACAATAAACCTGTAACCTCTTTCTAGCCAACGGTAATAATTAAGGTGATGGCAGCCAGCGGGACGTAAATAATTACATTAATCAACCACCACAAGTTTGGCAAGTAAACAAACGCTTATTCATCTTTTCATAACGAACGACAGTTGGAATTAACATTCTGTAGGTCGTAGCTGAAGCAAGAAGTAAGCTAACGTTAGATGGCCAATGCTGAGCTAAACATGTTTACTCACCACAGGTTACTAACCTATTTGCGTTCAGCACGTCTTTGTTTAGGTCTTGTTTTATGAAATTTTAAAGCCAAAGTTTATGATGAATTGCGGAGCAGCTGCCAGTGTTTGTTGTCCTCTCTCACGTGCGGTTGCGCGCAGCAGATGCTCCGTGTTACGTAGGCAGGTTATAGGTAACTCAGGGAGGGGAATAACGAAGGTTATGATATGGTAACCCTAGTTCTATAAGCACAGACAGAGCCCTCTACTGGACTATATGGGTACCACCTCCTCCAATCACACGCACGCACTCGCCCACTGAAATTTTATCGTGCACGTAGCCGACCAATAGGACGTCGCTACCGATACACGCGTGACGTACCGATACATGCTCCGCCTGTGCTTATAGAACTAGGGTTACCATATCCTAAACTTTGTTCTATCTCACACAGGCTCCGCCCTCTACTGGACTCTATGGGTACAGTGGGTGGAGCCCGATGACTGTCCGCCCTAGCCGCGACAAGCCAAAGTCCACCACACCAACCCGGTCGGCCACAGGCCGGCCAAAGCCCCGCCCACCACTTCACCTAGTGACAGAATGGTGAGACACCCCTGAGAAGGTTGCTGGACCAATAGGGGCTTGGCCTGACCAACACCTGACTGCAGTGAAACAGACAAACAGCTGACCAGTGCATCGAATGGGGGCTGTGTGCTCTACATAGGACGTTAGCCTAGCACACATGGACACAATAGATGCACTCTCACCTCCCAGAGGTACAGGCCAGGGCTCTGTCACTGTAGGCTGCGTCACTTTGGGGACCAAAAAGTACATGGTGAAAGACCTTTGTGCATGTCATGCGCTGAGATGTCCTAAGACAGCCTGCTTCAGCAGAAGTTGCTGGATCTCGGCGGCAAGGAAGTCCACTTCCTCTTGAGAGGATAGACTGGCTTCCATTATGTCCAGGAAAACTGGTGGTATGCAGCAGAACTGAAGAGAGTAGCCTGGTCTCAGAAAGCTGTCCACCCAGTCGGCATTCTGCATGAAAATGTGTACACGTGAAACAACGCATCTTCGGCACTCTCCACCGCCAAACTTTTCATAAATGGAAGTTACGCACCGAGCTGAAGATGGAGGGGGTTCGGTGGGGAGGAGAATGCTCTTTAGGAATTTACTGTATTTAATCAGTTGAACATTCACAGCATTTTCAGTGTGTACACAGCAGCACATGAAACACAAATAAATGCATACTGCCACTGAGGGAGGAGGAGTGGTGGTGTACATCAGCCTCTGTCGCTCTGTCACCCTCCTTTTTATTTATTTATTATTTTAAATATATTTTTTTTAATAAATAAGGCTAAATAAATAAGGCTTTTTCCAAGGGCTGCAATCGAAAAAGTTCAGAAACAGTTCAATCTTTCGAAAAAGGCCCATGGTGCATTCAATGACACCACGGCCTTGTCACCCGGTGTTGGCGTCAGCCTCAAGCTCACAGCTTCCCTGTGAAGCAGTGGCAAGTAGACAGCCTAGCCTGCTGTAACAGGCGCTACAAGCCGCCCGCTGAGGAAACGAAAGGAACCGAAGCAGCGAGCGATCTCTTTCGTCCCGCTATACCGAGAGAGACCTGACTTTGACTTTCTCTCTCCGGCTATAGCAGACTAGCCTAGCTGCGCTGTGACAGGCTTTAACCGCCGGTGAGCTAGCAACCCCCGTGCGAGTCCTCGTGGGCGCGCTGGGAATCTCTCAGCAGGCCTCTCTCCATCCATAACAGTCACTTGGCCAGTCGCTCCATTCCCCAGCCTCCAGGACATGGGTCACCTCGCCCAGGTGCAAAGATAATTTTCGATAAGTGGCGACTCCATCCGTGGAGGTGGTGAATTCAGTGAGCAGTTCACCGTTTGCTTAAGAAAAAAGGATGCTGAGGCAGTAGGGACACTGCTATTTTTACGTCACGCACGTATCGGTAGCGAAGTCCTATTGGTCGGCTGTGTGCACGATAAAATGTGATCGGAGGAGGTAGTACCCATAGAGTCCAGTAGAGGGCGGAGCCTGTGTGAGCTAGAACAGCAAGCTCAGATGTTTCCTAAAAATAAACATTGTTCACAAGTCCCACACCTCGAGTCCAAGTCGAGTCTGAAGTCTTTTGAGGACGAGTCTCAAGTCGAGTCTCAATTCACTGTGTGACACTTAAATCGCACTCGTGTCCGAGTCTCTAACTCGAGCCCCCATCTCTGGGCTGATCAACATCCCACCCCTACTATGACTCATGGTTCTACTGATATGTGTATTCAGTGCCAGTGAGCAACGCACTTTCAAAATAATAGCCTAATAATAAAAACTGCGTTAACGTGTGATAATAGTCAGCATTAATTAATGTGTTTACTCAATAATAACGCATTAACGTGCCCAGCCCTTATACAATAATGTATTCTCTGGTTTTATGTAAATATAGGCTAAGGAACAACAGTTAAAGTAAACACATAGTAAATAATGAAAAACAAATAGAAGTTACATAGGATAAAAAAAAATATAGCTTTGAAAAGGATGTCAATAAAAATCATGCTAATGCACTCGAGGCAAAGGCTCAGACCATGTAATAAATGTTACAAATGGATATACTTACGACGTCCTTTTGTTGCAGTAGGCAGAGTGAGAGATGTTTTGGAAAGAAGAATATTTAAAAATGAATTGATAATTTATTCATGAAAATCAGACAAGACAAACTTCAGTTGCATGAAAATGTTCAAATGTAACAAGAAAAAAAACTTCTGCTACTGGTAAATAATAATAGCTGTCCAGTAGCTTCCTAAGTTGCAAGATTAAAATGTTATTCACAATATTGAAGTCAAACATCTTACCAGTAAATGCAGTAACGCTCACTCCACTGCTTCTGACGTTTTCAAACACAGAGAAGAGAGTGAATCTATATGGAATTCCAGCAGTGAGAGATGAGACTGTGTAAGTTACTGGTCCATCTCCATCTGGTGCAGTGATGTTGATCTCTGCACCATTAAACTGGAGAATAAAGCTGAAGCTGTTGTTCACTTTATTCCACTGCAGAGTGATACTGGTCTCATCTTGTCCTATTGATCTGAAGTTTCTTGCATTTGAAGGAGCTGAGACAAAAAGACAGTGAAACATGTATTAATAAAGGACAGTCAGTAAAAGTGATGTTGTTTGTTGTTCACTCTAGTTAAAGATGGTTTGTTTTGTGTCCCCACATTGATTAAAACTTTTGCTATCTGTCAGGAACAGAGCAAGTGAAACAATTCTTTGTATTACTGAGTATGAATGTTTTTTTCTGGATCCAGATGTCACATTCTGTAGTCATATCCATCACACTTAATATCACAACAGAGACGTACTCCACTATAAATGAAGAATAACAACGTCACAAAATATTAAAAAAGTGATCATTATTAATGTAAAAGGATTTTACAGTGTTGGCCAAAACAATGCTGAGTTAAATTAACATGCAAAAATGTTTAGGTTGTTAAGTAGCACATTCCTTTAATCAATATTATACCCAGGAGATACGTCTTAGTTTAACACTGGTGCTCTGAAAAGCAGATGATGGCTCGCTAAAAAGATACAGAGCATAGAAATAAAGTGACATATATTACCGGTAACTGCAGTAATGTTACTCCACTGCTTCTGACGTTCTCAGACACAGAGAAGAGAGTGAATGTGTATTCAGTTGCAGCAGTGAGAGATGAGACTGTGTGAGTTACTCGTCCATCTCCATCTGCTGCAGTGATGTTGATCTCTGCATCATTAAACTGGAGAATAAAGCTGAAGTTGTTGTTCACTTTGTTCCACTGCAAGTGATACTGGTCTCATCTTGTCCTATTGATCTGAAGTCTTCTGTTTTTGGAGGAGCTGAAACAGAAGAAGAGAAGGGAATAAATTTATCAACAGATAACTTTGCGTGAAAAATTATTCATGCTCCATGACTGTTAAGGTTGCTCCATTTTGTATTCCATTGTTAAGATAACCTAATGGTGGCCATGAGAGATATAGTAGATGTTTGTATTAGCAAGAATGTCACATTTTATACCTAAATACATCACAGTATTTGAACAATAAATTAAGAATTTAATATTCATAGAACTTTAAGTTGGATAATAACCATGGGGAAGTAAAGGAGTTTAATGTGTTGGCCAATTCAGTGCTTACCTTGAAGTAGAGAAGCAGGACATCAGAAAAATAAAGTAAAATGTTCCCCAGTCACACTTGTAGCTCCTGGGTAAAGCCCCAGAGCTAAAATATACACAGCAGTGGAAACCCTACTTTTGCTATTATTTTAGGCTCTGTTTGATGAAGGAGGTAATGCTTTCATAGTTTCTTTTGAATGTACATCGCCCAGCATGAGGTGAGACAGATTAACCTGTTGCTTTTATTTTTCTGCCTCCGATTAGTCCAGAGAACCAGGAGACGTTTTTTGACTTCAAGTTAGGTCAAGTTAGCAACAATAAATATGCAACGTCTGGTTAGACTTTCAAAGGCCTATCTCTTAGTGTTGCCTTGTTGAAATGGCACGTTGTTAATATCACATATAAACGGCACAGCTAAACGCAATTTGGTTAGATTTAAGCACTAAAAGTAGATTTAGGAAAAAATCATGGTTTGGGTTAAAAGAACTATGATATATACACCAGTTAACTTATGTAAGTTAAGTAATGTTATTTGCATAGCTTACTCAACTTACATAACCTACGTAACTTGTAACAGTCAACTATACTGCCTTCATGTAGGCTACAGCTTTTAATGTGGTGGTGAACATGCTTTGTGTGTATTGTTTTCCTTCCCCAGAGTGAAACAGGTGAGTGAAGCTGTCGGCGTTTAGTGGGCTCTGTGTTACAGACTTTCATAAACTGTAGAGCAGCAGAGTAACACAGGCTTCATGATCAGAGATGATTTTTATATCACATCCACACGTCTCTCCACATCCCCTCTCTGCTGTGAGTCTGCAGTTTAATCAGTCAATTGGTGTTTTTCATAATGCACCATTCACACTATTATGATAGCAATGCGCCAAAGTACAAGCGCACCTGGCTTTAAAAGGGAAATGACTCTGATTGGTGTATTGCATTGGGACATTGGGGTGGGAAACTGTGTGGGAAACTATGATGACATTTGCAATGTTTGTTTGATGCAAGGGAGTAAGCCACAGTTGGAATAGTGAAGCCAGCCATGTAGGCCCAAAAAGGACGTCAAAACCCTGTGACATCCTGTCGTACATGAGAGACGTACTTTTTGTTGGCGCAGCTATGCAGCTACCAGAATAACGGTGTTTCTGCCATTGATTTACGTCATTAAACCACGGTTATGCTGCACGATCATGCACAGTAGACACTTGTGCCAACAGGAAGTAGCCCTGTAGTAGTATTTTATTGGTCCAAAACTGGCTTCACTGCCCTCCATTCAAATCTGCGGGGTGGCTTCGTCCAGTAATATACTGTCTACGGTACCTCTTTACTTACTATATCATATAGCCTACCTACCTTTTCCATTCAAAAGTGACGCTACAGGGCTTCTCCCCTGTGCGCTGAACTATGACGCTATGGGGATCCCGAGTGCGTTACATATAGACATCAATGGCTCTTGACTGATGCGCTCCTGATTGCTTGGAACTGGGAAATGTCCAATTTGAATTCCAGGTGCATGACTCCATGTCCATGTCCTGACGCCGAAAATGACAAACATGGCTGACTATGACAAACTCTTTGAAAAGTGTACACACAGTGCCGTTCCATAATACGAGTAGCAGCTGAATGACGTCACGCAACAATGGCATTAAAGTAAATTGCTGTGGTTACTAAGTTACCCTCTGATATTTGCAATATATATTTTTTGCAATAAGGCTTTTAGTGCAGAGGAGTCCATCAGTAGCCTTAAAGGTAACTTACAGTTTACAGTTTCTGAAAAAAAGGGACTGTTGTATATTTTGGTTTGTTAAGGTACCTTAAGGCACATCAAATAGAAGATGACTTCATTATATTTCTGATATAAATAAATTGAATTTAATTCTCCCCAGGTGCTACAGCTTCCACCCACCGTCCAAAGACATGCGGACTAGGTTAATTGGTGGCTATAAATCGTGTTAGGTGTGAGTGTGACTGGTTGTTTGTCTATGTGTGGCCCTGCGATGGATTGGCAACCTGTCCAGGGTGTACCCTGCCTTTTGCCTGATGTCAGCTGGGATTGGCTCCTGCCACCCGCGATCTGTACGCAGGATAAGTGGTTGATGATGGATGATGGGAGGAAATTCATTTAATTTCATATGATTGACCTCTTTGTCAGTGTATATATATATATATATATATGAGACATTATCACTGACATGATCGCTATTTCTCAGTTTAAACAGAATTATACTGATGAGAAACATATAAGTAAGTAAGTATAGATGGTTGTGGTTTGAATAATAAAACTTTTTATGGTATTTGTTTTTTTCTTGTTCTGAAACATTCATTTCAATAGCAGATTTCTGCAATCAGAGTTTTCATTTTATTTGACTTGATTTGGGTGATTTTGTGTCTTTTGAGAACATTTTATACATAGCAAACATTAACGTTACAGACAAGAAAGTAATTTTCTTTTGGAAGATAAATGTATGTTACTGTGCTATTTACAACATGATCACTAGATTTCCACACGTTTATCTGCTATAGATAGTATGTTATTCTGAGCAGCATTTAGCAGAAGAACATTGTTCTAATGCAGAAATGAATCTCTATGTGAGTAGAAATAAGATGCATTACTTGTTGAGTAGCAGATGAACGGGAAAGTGAGGGAGCAGTTATCATCTGACCACCGTCCTGAGTTTCTGAACACTGTGGTGACACACTGCTCTGTGCTGTCCGGTTGCCCATAGGCCCAGTATTGAAACAGAGACGTGCTCCCATCAGACCACAGTTGTTCCAAGTGTAGACCGATCCACACATCGTCACCAGCTGCCAGCTTTGTGATGACATCATTTTCGGTCTGATCACGTATACTGAGAGAGAAACAGTAGTATATACACATCAAGGGTGTAACTGAAGAGATGAAAGTTAACTAAAAAAAAAATACTGCAATGCATTCTTAGTGATTGTTGGGAATAGGGATGCAACAATTACAGATTTTGTTGGTATGATTATAGTCAGAGGAATAATCATGGTTTCACATATTCACGATTAATATGCATTAATTAATTTCACAACATTAGTAATGAGTTAATTGTTAATGTTTAATTACATTAACAATTATATTTCTATAATATGTAAGTATTATTAATATAAGAGGAATATTAACTTCACTTATCCACCAGGGGAAATTGTTAGTAGGAGCGTAATAAACTGAAATGTTATTTTCATCAACTCTCATCTGTGACGGACCACCGTCACTACGGTTGCGCTGTTACTGCCATGCCAATGAGCATTTGGCGTTGCTGTCAAGTTGCATGTTTGGTACCCTGTAGACCCAGGTTCAAATCTGGGTGGGATAACTGCTCTTGCCTTTCTGTCAGATGTGGAGTCAGAAGTGGGATGCTTGCTGTGAAATTGTCGTACCCAGTGCGTAGGAGGGACCCCCAGGGTTGGTGGACTCCAGAGATGGGTGAAACACTCTAGATGGTTGATGTCTGCACTAATGTGTGGGGCACCTCGAGATGGGAGAAGTACGATTGGCGGGAGTTGTGACGGATGCCTTTATGCGTGAAGCGCAATTGGGCGTCTCCCGAAGGGGAGGGCAGTGTGATGGACCTGGCATATTAACACACAAAGCCTAACATTTTTTAACACTGTGAGCAGAAGCTGACAGGATGTAACAGTAAATGTTGAGTGACTGAAGGTTTTGAGGTTTCTTCAAAGAAGTGATTTGCACTGTGAGGAACCTGCTCAGTACAAAACTACTTTGACCGCACGCCATGTGCAAGCCTTTGAAAATAATGGGTCTCGTAGTGCAGCAGTGCTGTTGTTGCAGTGGGTCTGAAGGGTTACACCGGCTTTGTTTGTTCACGTTGCACTGAAAGCTCGACTCTCACCTCTATGGCATCGATTGTAAGTGACACCTTGAAATTTAATTCCCAATCAACTTGCCACGTTAAAGTTATTATGAATTACATTTACTTGGGCGTGCAAAGCTGGGTGGTGATTCCGTAGGTGCTGCATCAAATTTGATGCAGTTATTTGAGCTTTTAGCAGCAAGGTGATCCGTCATATAATAATAATAGTGTAATTGCTGCATCCCTAGTTGGGAAATATAATATTGTACATTGTGTGATTATTTAAGGATTTGGTCATGTGACAACATAGCTGTTCAAAATCAAAATCAGTCACCTTAAAACTAAGCTATGTGTTGGAGTCTTCATAGTGCACACTGTACCTGGCTAGATCGACGTAATTCTCCCTGCAGTATCTCTGAGCTTCAGTCCAATTCAAAGGTGTGTCGACTTTTACAAAGGTTGATGTCCATTTACTGAACCTGGAAATATATTGATGAAGAGAAGTTTTTATTATATGCTATGCAGAAGATCTATTTAGCTTTTTGTTCTTGTGCTATAAGAAAACTCACCGTTATAGCACACAGAGTAGAATGGGTAGTTACAATTAACGTCCAACCACTTTCCATTGTTGTAATAGTAATAGTTATAGTTTTGAAGCAGCACACAGTTCTGTTGTCCGTTAGGATTATAGGAACGTCCAGGAGCCCAGTTTCTAAACCCTGTGTCTTCTTCACCATAGAAGCTGCTGTTGGTCAGGGACCATCTCCAGTTGTCACCATAGAGGCCTATCCAAGCCTTGCCTGTTCAAACAGATGTTCATTATATAACAGCTGGAATTAAAATAGTTGCTGAATTGACTTAAAATGTATATGAATAAACTGAACATCCCTTAAATTGTCTCCTCTTTTTTATTGAGGGCCTTTGTTGTTTTTTTCACATTCCATAATATATTTTATACTTTCATTTAAATCAAAATAAGCTTTTCAGAAACTTAGTTGTTGCCTGGCTATTGTGTATGGATATGATTGTACATACAGTACATACACACTATGTACACACCTGTGTAGCTTGGTGTGGTCCTGAGTACAGCAAAGGCGTCAGTCTGGGTTTCTATGGTGGCCAGGTCAGTGTAGACCCGTCTGCAGAAGCTCTGAGCTTCCGTCCAGTTCAGTGGCATATTCTCAAAGTAGTACTGACGAATCCCTAAAACAAAGCATATTCAATTTTTATTACTTACTCTTTTATAAAGCAAGTAAACTTTTTTCCAGTGAACATGAAGAGGTACTATGCATCAGGTGGGTTCAGCTGTACCGTGGAGTTTTACAATACCTTTTCCTCGATGATGACATTTTTGTATTAGACATTTATGTAGCAGTGTACACTGTTTCATGACTACAGAGCAGGTAAAACAATTAGTGCTCTATGCCAGAGGTCACTAATTGGTATGTCTTCAACACTAAGGGACTCAGAGCGTGGGCCTATTTCCAGGAAAAACGGCTAAAATAACATACCCAAAATAAATCAGTAATATCTCCTCCATTAGGCCTAGGTGCATAATTCTGGTCTCCTTAGAAAGGTCAGAAGAAGCTAAGGAATATAAATCCATTGTACATTAACATATTTTTTTTACCACTAAAGACTACATGGAGATGCAATACAGACAAAATATATATTTTCATCCTCGCGAATTTCCATGTTTTGGCCATATTTACTGTTAATATGTTCACTTTTATTGGTAGTTATCTTCAGAACATTATTTCTCTCCATACAACCCCATTCCTAATAACATAAAACTTCCAAAATATTGAAATATTGATAAAAACAGTCAATATATATATGACCAAAAGCACTCCCATGCTTTACTCTCTTTCTCTTCGTATTGAAGAATCGATTGCTGTCTTGCATGTCTGTGTAGCTCCTACGGGTCGTCAGGAGAGGCCGATAAAGACCGCCTCCGCCAAAGCAAACTCTTCTTCTCTACTTCAATCTGATGACAGAAAGAAAACTTAGGCTGCGTCCGAAAAGTAAAAAAAAATCTCCTTTCCTAACCATTTTTCCTTGACCCCGATGGAAAACGTAATGAGGTAAAGGAAAGATGTGAAGGAGAATTAATAAGGACTTAGGAAAAGAGGACCGAGAGAATCCGACTGCTCTTTTCTAGGCAGCGTAATTATGCCACGGCTGATGAAACTACAAAATTATGAAGATGGACTACAAAAAGCGCATCTTTGACACTGCGCCCCCTGTTGTTGTAATGCAGACCATCTAAAGGTTGACAAAACGGTGGAAAATATTACTTCATAACCAAGATAGCAAAAAGGCAGATAGGGTACCAGTCACTAATGGTCAGGGTTTTCACCTTGAGAATGCTTGCTCACACAAAATCAGCGTTGATAATGTGGAAGGGCACCACAAATAAATCAGTGTGTGGGAAACGCCTACTGTAGAGGTTATCCAGCTTGATCTTGCCTTTATGAAGGCGAGGGTGTCAGCATCTGTGACTGAAGTAAAATTAATCAATGATATTGCTAAAGGCTGGAAATATAACGTGAGCCTACACGCTGCAACATTATCCTCACTTTGGTTACAAGACTAGTAACATAGCTCATAAGTCTCAGATATTGTTGACAGTTTTAAGACATAGGCCTATGCATATTAGCAAGTTATGGCTTAAGAGAGAAAGGGCATAATAGCCAATGGTAACTTGATCAGCAGCCTTTATCTGTCATGGTTGGTGATTTTCTTTTTTTAGCTTATTTCAACAACTGAAACATAAAACGGTGTTGAAACAGTATTAAATTACAAAAAAGCCCAAATAAAACAAACCAAAACAAAGAAGATAATTGTGAGTATTCAAGTATTATAATGTGTGCGAGGATCTTGCTAAATGTGGTTAATGGATTTTATCGTTTCAGATTGAGAACGTCGCTGTAAATATTGCCGCCACAAGGAATTGTGGGACGGCATTTTCTCCTTTCCTTTCGTAAAGGATGGTCAGGTGTACCCTGTGCCAGAGATGTGGACTCGAGTTAGAGACTCGGACTCGAGTGCCACTTAAGTGGCACACACAGTGACTTCAGACTCGACTTGAGACTCGTCCTCAAAAGACTTCAGACTCGACTCGGACTTGAGGTGCGGGACTCCTGAACAATGTTTATTTTTAGGAAATATCTAATGAGCTTGCTGTTATTCCGTTCCCTGCTTTACCTATAAAATAAAATTAGTTGAGACTACACTTTAAGTTACATTTTTTATTTTAAATTTATAATTTATAATTAGAGTAGTTATTTTTTTTATTTTCCCTCCAGTTCGATGTGAAAACTGACAGTAAACATTTTGAATTTGACATAAGTTGATACAACTACATGTTATGGCACTGAATGATTACGCAAGTTAGTGGTTATGATGTTCCGAACCTTTGCTTCAGGAAATTGTCTCTACCTGCACCTCTTTGAACGTCTTTTAATAGAATCCCCCTGCTCTATGCCGTGCTGGATTTAATGTTTAGTGCCTTCACACTTTGTATATCAGCTTGAGTCAGATCAAGTTTCAGTCTCCCTCATTAAATTGGTGTTTACTGGTTACCACTGAGAATAAAAAAAGAACCAGTTCAAGCACTGACATTTTCTGTCATTTTAAGCATTTTCTGTCTGTAAGTTGTACTTTTTGTCTCAGTCACAGAAATGCACACTGTATATGCAGTACAGTAGAGTCAGAGATGTTTTAAGAATATGTTTTGATATAAGAATATTTTAAGAAGTATTGATACTTTGTAAATATCTCTTAAAAATAAGACGTCATTATCATAACTGAAACAGTGAGGAAATTTTTAATTTATACAAAAAAGAGAATAAGTAAAAATAAAGACATGTTAAAATTATGTTAAGAATGTCTGTTTCAAGGCGCAATAAACATAAAGTTGACTGAATTACATACACAAGAAATAAGAAAAATGTTACTACTGCTGGTAATTACTATTAACTGTCCATTAGCTTCCAAAGTAATACGCCTGGTTAAATAAACATTAATGAAGTCAAACATCTTACCAGTGACTGCAGTAACGCTCACTCCACTGCTTCTGACGTTCTCAAACACAGAGTAGAGAGTGAATGTGTATGTAGTTCCAGCAGTGAGAGATGAGACTGTGTAAGTTACTGGTCCATCTCCATCTGGTGCAGTGATATCAATCTCTGCACTATTAAAAAGGAGAATATAGCTGATGCTGTTGTTCACTTTATTCCACTGCAGAGTGATACTGGTGACATCTTGTCTTGTTGATCTGAAGCTTTCAGCATTTTGAGGAGCTGAGACAAAAAGAGCAGTGAAACAAGTATTAATTAACTAATGACTCTCAGTAAAAGTGAAAATGTTCCCTCCAATAGTTAAAGATGGTTCACATTGATAAAAATTAAGGCTGTCTGTCAGGAACAGAGCAAGTGAAACAATTCTTTGTATTACTAAGTATGAATGTTTTTTTCTGGATCCAGATGTCACATTCCTGTAGTCATATCCATCACACTTTATATCACAACAGAGATGTACTCTATGATAAATGAAGAATCACAACATCACAAAAGTTTTAAAAAGAAATCATTCTTAATGTAAAAATATTTTACAGTGTTGGCCAAAACAATGCTGAGTTAAATTAACATGCAGTAAAGTGCATGTTGTTAAGTAGCACATTCCTTTAATGAATATTATACCCAGTAGATACGTCTTAGTTTTACACTGGTGCTCTGAAAAGCAGATGATGGCTCGCTAAGCAGATACAGAACATAGAAATAAAGTGACATATATTACCGGTAACTGCAGTAATGTTCACTCCACTGCTTCTGACGTTCTCAAACACAGAGAAGAGAGTGAATGTGTATTCAGTTGCAGCAGTGAGAGATGAGACTGTGTGAGTTACTGGTCCATCTCCATCTGGTGCAGTGATGTTGATCTCTGCATCATTAAACTGGAGAATAAAGCTGAAGTTGTTGTTCACTTTATTCCACTGCAGAGTGATTCTGGTCTCATCTTGTCCTATTGATCTAAAGTCTTCTGTTTTTGGAGAAGCTGAGAGAGAAGAAAAGAAGGGAATGAATTTATCAACAAACAGGTTTGTGAGAAATATTATTCATGCTCTATCTGGCTGTTAAGGTTGCTCTATTTTGTATTATGTAATTGTTGACAAACCTTAAGATGGCTATTACAGATATATGTTTTTATTAGCTAGAATGTTGTCACATTTTATATCTAACCACATCACAGTCTGTTTTTTGCAAGACATATGTAATGAACAAAAAATGAAGAATTCAAAATTCATAGGACTTTGCCGCTCTCTGCCCAAGACCAGGCCACTGTACACGTCACTAACCATGAATAGCCATGAAGTGATCATTCTGTCTCATAGTCATAGCATGACTAACGATCCTACAGTGCAACATGTGCCTACACATGTCCCACCTGCCAGAGCAGATCAGAAAGGAGCTGCTGGCCCATCAGCCCCAATGGGCTCTTCAGGCCGCTCCTCCAAAATGCAGTCACCCACCTGCAGCAAGCATTGGAAGCAGCAGACGAGGTGAAACGGCACACTTCATGGAGCCCCGCTCCCGTGTTTTCTGCAGCTGATAACACATACTTTCCCCGCATACAGTAAGCTCCGCTGCGCATGCAGACACAGTTGTTGAGCTGCTGTCCCTTTCTCATATTATAAGTGAAAAGCATTCACACCAGATAAACACAAGATGTGGGAGCCGGATGTGTCAGTCTCATGTGGTAGGAGGGAAATGGCCACAGCCTCCATCTCTCCACATAAACTGCCTGGCCCTGTCAATTGTGCTGAAAGTGCTGAAACACTTTGCTCCACTGCTGAGAAACAAACATGCATGGTGAGAACACACGCCTGTGTGAGGCCATTACACAGGCATATGTTGCAGCTGGGGAAGACCCCGCATCCAGCATCCGCACGCCCTCGGCGAGACCCTTTTCATGCTCCACAGCACTCTTCAGTGGAAAGGCTGTGGAAGATATATGCACAGCGGGCTATGGGCTTCACCCTGCCTTCTTATCCATTTTTATCTATGTGATGCTTCGAGGTTTTCTCTGATGCCTTGGATACTGAATGTTCTGGACATAAAGCACAACACTGCCAATTCTGGACACATTACGCACACATAGGCAAGCAGGTACAGACTTAAGGTTCAGGCCAGGGCTCTCCTGTGGACATAAATGCACTCCAGTGTGACTGCCACCGTACGTAACAACCGTCCTTACTGTTCCCTCAACATAAGCCCTGTGTGTGCTTGTACTCATGTGCCATGAGTATTTCTCCCTATTCACACTCCCGTGGCCGTGGTTTGTGTGTTTGTTCCACTCTTGCATGCGCTCTGCTTGTTTTTTAGGACTGGGGACAGTGCCAAAGGTGCATGGCATGAGGGAATTAGAACAGAGGAGCCAATCTCATGCTAAGAGGCGGCCCCCAACTGAGTGGAGACTGCAATCCGATGTGATTGAGCAAATCTAGGCTCTCTTCAGGAGAGTGGAGGAGGACCTGTTTGGCAGCCAGCGCAACACCCACTGCCCGCTGTGGCTCTATATTCAGCCAGGACAGCCCCTGGAAACGGACGTGTTTGCACACGCTCCACGGCTAGAAGAGGTGCTGTATCTGTTCCCCCCTTCTCGTCCCTCCATGAGCAGTCCTCTGAAAATGCTATCTCCCAAGACAGCCTTGCTGCTAGCCCTCTCCTCTGCTAAGAGGGTGAGTGAGCTGTGTGCCCTGTTAGTTCACCCCAGCAGCATAGTGCTTTGTGGTGACCACAGTGCAGCTGTGTTGAGACTGAACTGTTCCTTTGTTCTTAAGAACATAAGGAGATCGTTCCCCACCCCATGCTGGACAGAGGGAGGATCAACTGCAGCTGTTGTGTCCAGTGCGCGCTCTGACATCCTATGTAGAGTGCACAGTCTCTGTCTCTGTGGGCAAGTGTGTGTGATTGGAGGATGTAGTACGCGCAGAGTCCAGTAGAGGGCTCTGCCTGTGCTTATAGTACTAGGATTAACACATCGTAACCTTCATTTTTGTTATTTTGTCTCAAATATTCACCTTACTGACAATAAAGTCATTTCTATAGAAATGTAATTGCTCCAATACTGTCCTGCTTACAACTTGATCACTAGATTTGCGCAGGTTTATCTGCTGTATATAATCTTCTGAACAGCATTTAGTAGAAGAACTTTTAACTACAGCATTCTTGTTTCAACAGACGTGTATACAAATCTAAATTCAGTGTGAATCTGATGTTAAAGGATTTATAATTTATAATGTAAACTGCCTAAATGTAACAATGAATCTCTTTACAGTATGTGAGTACAAATAAGATACATTACTTATTGAGTAGCAGATGAACGGGAAAGAGAGGGAGCAGTTATCATCTGACCACAGTCCTGAGTTTCTGAACACTGTGGTGACACACTGTGCTGTGCTGTCTGGTTGCCCATAGGCCCAGTTTTGAAACAGAGACGTGCTCCCATCAGACCACAGTTGATCCAAGTACAGACCGATCCACACATTGTCACCAGCTGTCAGCTTTGTGATGATGTAATTTTCTGCCCGATTTCGTATACTGCAAGAGAAACAGCAGCATATACACATCAAGGGTGAGTTGAGTATAACTGAAAAGGTAAACATAAAAGAAAGAAGAAAGTCCAACACTGCAGTGCATTGTTAGTGATTGTTGGAAAATATAATATTGTAGTTTATGAGATTATGTAAGGATTTGGTCACGTGACAACGTAGCTGTTAATTAAAATCTGAAAATCAGTGCAATATAATCACCTTCAAACTAACTATAACTATGTTACTATACTTCTATTCCAAATAAGGCTTGTAATTATTATCATCATACATTACACCATGACTGAGGTCTAAGTGCATCACAGTCTTAAAATAAGGATGAAAATTATGTAACTCATTACAGTAAAAAAATAATAGTACTAAATTAACAGACAGGAAGAGAAGGATTCAATCAATCTGTCACCAGTGTTTGGCAGTAATGCATTTGGTGCTGCAGGTCAGCGCACTGGACTTTGTTGTTCAAGTCAGCTGTTAGCCAAGAAGCGAAAGGAAGAATGGAAAAGATGCAAAGTGGTGGTAGTGAAAGTAATATAGTAACTTAACGAGTAACATAACTAGTTACATTTATCACCCAGTAATAAGTAAAATAATATTATTACTTTTTTTAAGGTAAGTAATATATTACAATTTCTGAGTAACTTGCCCAACACTGACCGTCACAATACTGAATAAGCCGAGTTTCATCAACAGAACAGATAGTAGTAGTAGTTAAGTAGTTGCTTCAGTACTGAACTATTGTATGTGTTGGAGTCTTCATCAGTGCACACTGTACCTGGCTAGATCGACGTAATTCTCCCTGCAGTATCTCTGAGCTTCAGTCCAATTCAAAGGTGTGTCGACTTTTACAAAGGATGATGTGCCATTTACTTTACCTGGAAATATATTGATGAAGAGAAGTTATTAACAATGTGCTATGCAGAAATTCCATTTAGCTTCTTGTTTATATTTATGCTATAAAAAAACTCACCGTTGTAGCACACAAATCTTTGTTGGTTGTTGCAATGAACATGCAACCACTTTCCATTGTAATCCAAGAAAGAGTAGTAATAGTAATAGTAATAGTAAAAGCTTTGAAGCACCACACAGTGTTGTTGTCCGTAAGGATTGTAGGGATATCCTGGAGCCCAGTTTCTGAACCCTGTCTCTCCTTCACCATAGAAGCTGCTGTCACTCAGGGACCATCTCCATCTGTCACCATAGAGGCCTATCCAAGCCTTGCCTGTTCAAACAGATGTTCATTATGTAACAGCTGGAATTAAAATAGTTGCTGAATTGACTTAAATTGTAGATGAATAAACTGAACAACCCTTAATTTATGTGTGTTTGAAGGGTCTTTGTTGTTCTTTTACATTCCATAATATATTTTATACTTTCATCTAATCAAAATAAGCTGTTGTGAATGTATATGATTATATACCTTATGTTTATGTTCTGTATATGTTTCCAATACTTGCCTCTGTAGCTCCTTGTGGTCCTGAATACAGCATTGGCGTCAATTGGGGTTCTTATGGTGGCCAGGTCAGTGTAGACCCGTCTGCAGAAGCTCTGAGCTTCAGTCCAGTTCAGTGGCGTAGCCTCAAAGTAAAACTGACGGGTTCCTAAAATAAAGCATATTCAGTTTTTTATTACTTACTTTTTTTTATAAAGCATGTTTTACAATGAACATAAAGATGCACTGTGCATCAGGTGGATTCAGCTGTACTGTGGGGTTTTACAATACACTTTTCCTTGTTGGTGAGATTTCTGTAGCAGCAGAAATCACTGTATCATGACCACAGAGCATGGAAACAAGTAGTGCTCTATGGCATGCTGAATTTTTCTGTTTAGTGCCTTAACACAAGTTTCACCCTGCCTCAGTAAATTGGTGTTCGCTGTTTCACACTGACAATAAAAAAAAGTACCAGTTCAACCACTGACATTTTTTTGTCTCATAAGTTGGACTCTTTGTCTCAGTCTGTCGCAGAAATACACACTGTATATGCAGTACTGAGTCAGAGATGTTTTAGGAAGATGCATTGATAACTTGTTAATACCTCTTGAAAATAAAAAAAACAGACAATCATATGTCATAACTGAACATGAAATGAAACAGATTTTTAATTTATACAAAAAGACACAAAGACAACAGCAAGTTAACTTAATTACATGAACAAGGAATAAGAAAAATGTTTAAATGTCACAAGGTGTGACAAAGTGGGTTTGCTCACCATTTGTCCCATACAGGTCATTTTCCATATTACACAATATTATTTTATACAAGTGGTTATTTTTGTAATTTATAACATCTTGTGTAACCACTTACTGTAGACTGTAACATAATGCAAACACAAAAACACAAACATTTGCAAAGAAAAATGCCGCGAGACCAGGCAATACTGTGGTTCCAACTTTAAGTCCAGCATGCATCACGTTAAGTCAGCACTGCGCAGCACCGCGTGAAGTCAAATGCGGGCCCTACGTGCGTTTGACTTAAAACTCCTCCAAAAACAGTCACAAGTGTAAAAAAAGTAAGGTGCCTGTTTAAACAAGTCATTTAACTACTCTAAAGGCACAAAAAGAGGAAAGGAGAAGCTTCATGTCCAGCCAATCAAACCACCACTGAAGCGCTGAATTGATGTGATGGAACGTAGTGTAATGGGAATTCCAAACATATTGCATGTAACCCTGGACTCAGGGAGACTCATCTGTGATGTGGCACTGAATCTGTGTAAACGTAACAGGCAAAATATCTCTGTTCTCTGTGATATCCAGACTTCAGGGACAACGTGTCTCTGTGGGATGATATGATTGACCCTAAAGCTGGATAACTAACAACTGAGCTCTCCTTACTCATTCGAGCATACATGTACATGGCGTTTGTGTGTTGCTTTGAGCCCTTCTGCAGAAGACTTGAATAAAATTCGCAGAAAGACAAGTGTAAGTCTGAGTTGTTTATTTGAAAACTCGAATTGCCATCACAGTAGCGATCAATCAGTGTCAGGTGATGTGAATAGCAAATAAAAATGTTCAGAAAAGTTTTAAATGATACCAGAGGGTGAAACCAACGGAAAGCCAAGCTTGTGGTGATAAACTTGCAACAGCGACGAACATGCCTGAGTCCGCAGCTGAAGGCAAGCCGCTGTTAAAAACATGCATTGACTCGACGCGTGCAGGCCTTTTTTATACAGTTTATGGTGCTGGCACACAAAGGGGAAAAAAGATGTGCTCTTCTCTTTCTTTCGGTGTGTTTGGCTGCAAGCAAAACCATACAAATCTTAATTTTTTTCCACGATCTGGTCACAAAAAGTAACGATTGACGTACTGGTTTGACTAGAGACGTTTTGATTCTTCTTGATACTGGGCTGTTTCGGTCTTTACGTTCTCCTCTGACTCTGTTTTCCTCTGCTTAAACCACACCTGGGGAGGGGCCCGCCAAAGCATTTCCTGTTTTATAGTAATAGGGTGGTCATGGATGACCAGGATAAGTGGGCCAAACCAAATTGAGGCTTTTCTTTTGCTATATTAATGTTTCTTTTACTTGCTTTTCTGTTGTTATAAGTAAATATGTAAAGATCATCCTATAGTGCCCTGTAGACCTGTGTTAGAATCCAGGTAGGGTGACAGTTCTTGCTCTTCACTACACAAGGAAAAACTTGGTAAGTACTATTAACTGTCCTGTTGCTTCCCAAGTTGCAAGATGAAAATGTTATTCCCGGTTAAATACACATTAATGAAGTCATCTTACCAGTAACTGCAGTAATGCTCACTCCACTGCTTCTGGCATTCTCAAACACAGAGAAGAGAGTGAATGTGTATTTGGTTCCAGCAGTGAGAGATGAGACTGTGTAAGTTACTGGTCCATCTCCATCTGGTGCAGTGATGTAGATCTCTGCACCATTAAACTGGAGAATATTTCTGATGTTGTTGTTCACTTTGTTCCACTGCAGAGTGATACTGGTCTCATCTCGTCCTATTGATCTGACGTTTTCAGTTTTTGAAGGAGCTGAGACAAAATGAGCAGTGAAACACATAATAACTGTATATAAAATGAAAATGTTCTCTTTGACTGTTAAAGATGGCTCGCTAAGCAGATATAGAGCATAGAAATAAAGTGACATATATTACCGGTAACTGCAGTAATGTTTACTCCACTGCTTCTGACGTTCTCAAACACAGAGAAGAGAGTGAATGTGTATCTAGTTCTAGCAGTGAGAGATGAGACTGTGTAAGTTACTGGTCCATCTCCATCTGGTGCAGTGATGTTGATCTCTGCATCATTAAACTGGAGAATAAAGCTGAAGTTGTTATTCACTTTATTCCACTGCAGAGTGATACTGGTCTCATTTTGTCCTATTGATCTGAAGTCTTCGGTTTTTGGAGGAGCTGAGACAGAAGAAGAGAAGGGAAAGAATTTATCAACAAATAACCTTGTGTGAAAAAATATTCGTGCTCCATATGACTGTTAAGGTTGCTCTATTTTGTATTCCATTGTGAAAACCTAATAGTGAACATGAGTGATATAGTTAATTAAGACCCACATTTGTATAATCAGGAATGCTGTGTCGGATTTTACACCTAACCACATCCCAGAGTGTGTTTCTCAAGACATGTGTAATGAACAATAAATCAAGAAAACTAATTCTTTACGTTGGATAACTATGGGGAAATAAAGAATTTTAATGCGTTGGCCAATACAGTCACACAGAGAAACTGCAAATTCATCAGCTGTTTGATGCAACACATAATGTTCTTTGGTGAATCATGTTGACATAATCACTGACATAATTGCTATTCCCAATGATGATCCATCACTACTTGTAAATCATTTTTAATCTACTGTATACTTTCTCAGTTTAAACAGTAAAATTAAGAATTTTTACTACTATACTAATACTTTTACAATACTTTTAAATACTGTGCTGTTTACAACATGATCACTAGTTTCCCACAGGTTTATCTGCTGTGTCTTCTGAACAGCTTTTAGTCTATGCAGAACAACAGACGTAAAGAACATTCTTGTTTCTGCTTTAACAGACTTTTAAACAAGTCTAAATTCAGTGTGGTGTATGGTACTGATCTTAAATGTAGGAGATCTATTTGCCTTAATGTAACAATGAATCTCTACACAGTACGTGAGTAAATAAGATGCATTACTTGTTGAGTAACAGATGAATGGGAAAGTGAGGGAGCAGCTGTCATCAGACCACAGTCCTGAGTTTCTGAATGATGTGGTGACACACTGCTCTGTGCTGTCTGGTTGCCCACTGGCCCAGTAGTGAAACAGCGAGGTGCTCCCATCAGACCACAGTTGTTCCCAGTGCAAACCGATCCAAAGAAGGTCACCTGCTGCCAGGTTTGTGATGATGTCATTTTCTGCCTGATTTCGTATACTGTGAGAGAAACAGTAGCATATACACATCATGGGTGAGTTGAGTTTAACTGAAGAGGTAAAACATAATAAAAAATAAATAAAAAATCAGCACTGTTAATTATTTTTGGGAAATATAATGTGATGGGTAGAGAACAAAAATTCAGGCTAATTTGTGTTTTAAATCAGTTTCCAATATACTATTATATAGGTCAAAAGCTAAGATAATGATTAAGTATAAATGTGCCAATTATATTGAGTTGGTGTTCAACATGTTTTGCATGTTATAAGTAGGCTAGTTAGTATTTTTTATTACAGTTTTTCCAACACATTTCTTGAAATTTTGCCTCTTTTTCTCAAAACTCTAAAAACAAATCCACAACTTCTCACCCAATTCCCCAAACTAGTGTTGTAGTACTCGAGACCGGCATTTGTACTCGATCTTGTCTCGGTCTCGGACATTGAGGACTCGGGATTTTATTTCAATACCAGTCAAGACCATAACTTTGGGAATATCAATAAATTGCTTTTGCATTGTCTGATTTGTTAACATACTAACTTTGATAGGAAAGCAAAACATATTGCTTCAAATGCAACCAATAACCCTAATTGACGACTGTCACCCCTCCCTGCGATGCTTACGTTGATTTCAGCTCTTAGTGTTTGTATGTGGGTGTTTTAATGGGAATGTGAATCTTTCAGATCAATTTGAGAACTACCTATGATCTCGTTCCACATTTTATTGCGTGCCATGCAATGCAGGGAACTGGTCTTGGTCTTGACTTGGTCTCGCCCTTGAATTGAAACAAAATGACCTCCATACAAATCACCCACCCAAACAAGCAGCGGAGGATCGAGGCTTCGGCAGACTGCAGCGTGTGGGAGAAGTAACACAGTAATTAAGTAAATGAGACATTGCTCTGCGAGTACACGGCCGGCGCTCTATGGAGAGTAACCATGGCAATGGCGTCTGCGCGCTACACAGCTGTAGCCTATTTAACTTTACTTGAAATCATAGGCTACATATCTTTACCTGATAGGCCTTCATCTAGTTTTGCGGGGATGCTCTGCCATGCGATTTCCCTCTGTTGATGTCCTATTTAATAAACAGTAATAGATTCTGGAAACTCAAAAACAATGAGGATCAGTCTCTCTTCCAATAATTTGTGCTGCACTTCGCATACAAAAAGTTCAAGAAAATTCAACTTTGGCAGCGGACGGGCATGTGTGTGAGGCGAGCAAAACCGCAACAGTTTCACAGGAACACAGCCGCTTGTCGGTACACCTTGTGCTCGACCACTTCACCTCTCTGTAACAGGGACACTTGCTACTGAACATAGACTGTTTATGCTGCTCCCTGGTAAAAGAAAAATGTTTCTGCTGATAGCTGTTCAGAAAAAACCCCCAAGAAAACTGGACTCTGATGGTAACTTGTTTTAACAAGCTCGATAAAAGGTATTGTCAGAATGGTTACAATACAATAAGCTATACATAACGGAGCCTCTGTTTATATTATTATTATCATCATATCAGCTGACAGCCATATGCTCTATACAGTATTTTCAGTTTTTTCCCATAATTTCACTTAAGAGATTAAAGTGATGAAAGAATTTGGACTTTGAGATAATTTCGGAAACGCACACTTGATTTTTACAGCATGACCTTGAGATCAGAGAGTGTCTTTATATGACTACTGGGTGAATTGCTCAACCTACCTGCAACATTTTGTGTTTCTAAGTCAGGTTTAGTTTAAGCTGCACAAACACTTATTAGTGTCACAGGATCCAAATAAAATAGAGAACTTAGACTCACTATAATCGGAACACCAGCAAGTCTGACTTGTTCACCTGGGAATTTTAACCTTTGGAACTTCAAAATCTCCAGAGTAGGTGACTTTGTGACTGAGCTAGTGGTGAGAGGCTGCTTCGACACACCTTCACACAAGTTGAGGTAGTGACGTCACATGCTCCACATCCGGATATTCTTTTCAGTTTAAACTTAAAACGCTTACAACAGTCAAAATGTTGAGAAAATTCTGACAAAACTTTTGGTAAAATCTGATCCAACACTGAGCAAAAAAGAAAATGTTGTGCAATTGTACAAGTTATAGCCAATGAAACAATTGATATTGGCCAGTGAAACACTTGATACTGGAAAGTGTTAAACCAGAAGATCATTTGAGCAAAGATGCAGAGGAATTCGGAGATTAAAATGCAACCCGTTCTCATCTCAGGCATCATACACGCTTTGACAAAACCATGGCTATTGTACGCAAAATGGCGATTTTGCGCTGCAGTTTGCTTTAGTGTTGCAACACAAAGGAGGCTAACCCTACCTGCTAGCACATCGAGATGCGAGAGTTCACCACAGGGATGGCATTGGAAGTTGATACCCTGAGGTAGAAAGATGCTACCTAGTAGTTCTGCAATGCAGTTTTCCCTTTACTGCATGTGATGGTGTGTCTGTTATAGCTGTGTGCACACGTTCAACTCTGCCTATTGTGTGGTTTTGTTTAATGTGTGTAATTTACTGTGTTTAGGTGGCGGTGCACCAGTGTATCAGTGTGGCCGTGTCCGGGCATCCTGTTAGCCCTTAGCTATTGCATGTCTGGCGTATGTAGATGCTCAGGTGTGTCAACAGTTTTGCTTTTATCCTTTGGCATCCATGGAACCGTTGGCAAAAACATCTTGTCCTGTTTAGTATTACTTGAGTCTTGTATAATGAATAGAAGTGCCCAAAATCAGATTTTTAATATTGATGTTTAATCAATCACCCTTTCAGTGGAAACTCTGTACCATGTCTCTGTACTTGGGGAACCTATGGCAACAATTAGCTGTTTGGGGATTTGAACCCCTCAACACTTTTTCTGTCAATCCTGCTTGTAATCATCACAATGATCATCATACTAAGTGACTTAGTCCCAAGGGCCTTACACTTGAAAATGTTTAACTTATAAGCAAAGCAATTAAAAAATAATAAAAACAAATGAACAAACACAAAAGGGAAGGATTCAAACGACAAAAAGAATCAAATAAAACAGTTTGACAGATTTTGTGGGATTCAATCAACTGTCACAATACTGAATAAGCTGGATTTCATCACAGAACAGATAGTAGTTGTTAAGTAGTTGGTTCAGTCCTGTACTCTTGCATGTGTTAGAGTCTTCATTAGTGCACACTGTACCTGGCTAGATCGACGTAATTCTCCCTGCAGAATCTCTGAGCTTCGGTCCAATTCAAAGTTCTGTTGACCTTTACAAAGAGGATGTGCCATTTACTGAACCTGGAAATATATTGATGAAGAGATATTATTAACACTGTGAAGATGGACTTTGCTAAAATGTATGCAATGTAACACCTCTAACATACACATCCTGTGCTCTTCTTCTTTGATCACAGTACAATTCTGTTGCGGTGGCAGCCGGCTGTTGGTGAGTGCCCTGTTTTTCTTTTCCTCCTTCGCATCCTGGTTTCTCCTGTGTCTCCTCTCTCTCCCTCTGTGTGCTCTCTCCCTCTCCGCTCCGGAGCCCGGCTGGTTATCCACACCTGCGTCTCGTCAACCTCCATCTCCGACCGCCGCACCTGCCAGCTATCAGCCTCATCATTTCGTCTCCTGTCACCCTGTACTAACCCTGT